GGAGAGGGGGAAAGGGCAGAGGGTCAAAGATAGGATAAAAAACATATATATATGTAAACATTGTATGAAAGTAGAAATGGAATATTGTTGGTGATAACATGCTTGATTGAGTCATTAAAAAAAAAATGAGCTTTAGGGTAAAGCAAACATGGGCACCAGTAGATACTCAATATAGGAAATTGTGTCCATTTCTTAGGGGGACGTTAGAGAGAAGAAAGAGGTCTCCGTGGAGAAAACAGTGGAAGCATGCATTCAGTGATGGGGCAGAAAATACTAGACACGTTCATGGAAAGACAGTAAAGTATGTATTCATGGTACCTCAAGAAGTATTAACGGAAAGTGCTTTTGTTGTATCTCCTGGAAAAGACGGAGAAATGAAGCCAGTAAGTGAAAACTGCCAGCCAAGATATCACCATTCCTTCAACAGCTACTTATAAGAGCTCCATTGTTGGTACAGCAGAATAAATTGACCCCCAAATGATCAGTCTCCATAGCCTTGCTTATTCATCCTGGAAACAGGCAAAACTCAAGCACCCTAATACTTCACTTGATGAGCAGAGTTGCCTACTTCAGAATTATTATGCTTCCTGGTTGAAACAAACGTGCAAATTCAAAAGTGTTATTTCTTGAAATAATCAGTTAATAACATTTAAACATTTTTTTTTAGATTTTTTTTTTTTTTTTTTTTTTTTTTTTTTTTGCTACAGGGTGTGTACACTCACCAGAAACACAAAAAGCAAGAAATCACCTCCTTGGGGAATGGCCATGCCACAATCCCTTCTCCTCTATGCTCTTCTCGGGATTTTGAGCACATATGCACATGCACCTGGCATGAGCTTCAAGCCACTGGGTCTGGGACTTGAATCTCAGCCGGCCACATGGGAGTCCAGCACCCTAACCATTATGCAACCTGCTAGCTCCACATTTAAGCATCCTTAAAGGGAATGTTCATATTTCATTATTTAAACCCTAGCAAAAAATTACTATGAAATCCATTTTAATTGGAGACAGAAGCCTTTTGGATATGCCATATTAAGATGATTTCTAATTTGCCAGGAATAAGAAGCAAGAAGAGTTTGTGAAAATAAGAGCTGGTGTGCTCATTTGAGTTACCAAAACAATCAAGGGGAAAAAAATGAAAAATAAAAATCTGGTCTAAATGAAAGCTTTTGAAAGCAGAAAAGAAAAAGGAATGAATGCCACTGAACTCATACAAGCTGATTATTTGTTTAGATAAAAG